AAAACATATGGAATTTTGATATAGAATCATTAATTACGTATACAAACCTTATAAAAAACGTATCATTTCCTTATTTCAATTTCTTATAGGGGTTTAGTAGATATTTGTTCATTCTAAGTTTGTGTTTAATAACAGATTTAATTAGTACATATAGTTTGCTCACTCTACTTTAGAAAGAAATATTAACTGTGATTGATATTCTAATCTTAGAATAAGAACAGCATTGTTAAATATAAAACCATTTTGTCAGTTATAGGTTTAAATTTGATTTTGAGAACAAAGTTATCAATAATAGGGTTCCTCAAAATTGAATCAAATCAAATATTTAAGCAATTTGAACTTGATTTGATTTTTTCAAATTGAATTGAATTAAATCAAATTGAACTCAAATATTTGATCAAATCAATTTAAATCAATTTGAATTTGATCGAATTGAATCAAATTGAATCAAATATTTGTCAAATCAAATCAAATCAAATCAATATTTGATCGAATCAAATCAAATCAAATATAAATTTTTTTTTTAATTTTTACAATAATATATTAAAATAAAGTTATTATAAAGTTTTAATTAAGAAAATTATTAGTAATTATACTAAAAAATTTCAAAGATAGCTTTTATAATATAAGTTTAGTAACTTGTAAATTTTTATTATTAAACTTAATAAAATAACTTTACAGTTTTAGTTTTATTAAGAAAACTTAGTAATAACTACTATTACGGCTTCAGTTTTACTAAAAAAACTTAGTAATAACCTTTATCACAGCTTTAGTTTTACTAAGAAAACTTAGTAATAACTACTATCACAGCTTTGATTTTACTAAGAAAATTTAGTAATAATCGCTATCGTAGCTTCAGTTTTACTAAAAAAAAACTTAGTAATAATTGCCATCTCAGTTTTGTAACAATTTTATTAGTAAAAAAAAATTCTGAAGCTACAGACGCGTTTTTTACTAGCTTTCTTAGTAAAAACATCTCTGAAGCTGTAAAGGCATTTTTTACTATGTTTTCTTAGTAAAATAGCATCTCCAAAGCTGCAGAAGCGTTTTTTACTATGTTTTCTTAGTAAAATAATATCTCTGAAGCTGTGAAGATACTTTTTACTATGATTTTCTTAGTAAAAAAGGCATATTTAAAGCTGCAAAAGCACTTTTTGCTATAGTTTTCTTAGTAAAAAGGCATTTCTGAAGCAGCGGAGGCACTTTTTACTATGGGTTTCTTAGTAAAAGTCACTCTTGAAGCTTTGGAGATAGCTTTACTATTGATTCAAATCAAATCAAATATTTGAATACTTGATTTGAATTTTATTGAATTGAATCAAACATTAATTTGGATTCGATCAAATAAATCATTCTTTGATTTGAATTTGATCGAATCAAATCAATTATAAATTTGAATTTGTATTTGATATGATTTTCAAATCAAATATTCAAATATCAAATCGAATTGCAGAACCCTAATTAATAATATCTTTTAATTGGTTGATAATAAATTTTTTGTTATTGTCTATACTGATCCAAACTCCTAAATATCTAATAGATTTATATTTAGAATAAGTTGAAATACTAATTGATTTTCTAGTGATAGATAAGTTGAAATTGATATTGTGATTTTGATTTGGTAATGTCGAAATTATGAAAGATTTTTCTAAGTTTATCATTTAATTGATAGAAAGTATCAGCTATATCAATAATTTGCTTTAGGTTAGAAGAGTCATTTGAAATTCGAGTAGTATCATCTATATATGCAGTAGCAGCAATGTTAACAGAGTCTGATATTGAAGTGAAAGTATTTAGATTGGAGAGACAAGTTGTATCCTAGATTCAATTGTTAGATTTTGTAAATAATGGATCATAATAAATGATCTATAAGAGCGGGAAAATAATTTCACCTTGATCGATATCGATTAATACATCATATTTAGGTGATAATCTATGTTGTGTGTAAACCTTATTTTTTCTATTCAAAAAAAGATTGGTGATGATGTTAATGAATTTTGAGAGAATTTTAAATAAGACATGGCTTTTTGTAACATGTAAATATTCATTCTATCATAGCCTTTAGACACATCTTGAAATAGAATAAATAGATTTTACATAGGATTGTGATTATTCAAAAGTTTATTTCATTTGATATCAGATCTAGAAGTTTTTAGGATATTGTTAACTATATAGATCAGATTGATAGTTGAATTATGAGGAAGGTCAACAAAGTTTAATCCTTTTAAAATGTTAAATTCAGTATATATTTTAGATAGTTGATTTGTTAGGAATTTGACGTAGATTTTTCTAGCTGTTTCTAATAAAGTAACTGGCCTAGTATTATTAAAATCATATTGTCATAGCTTGGATTTAGAAATAGGATAAATGTAAGCAAGTTTTCACCCTGCAGGAATGTCTTACAAAATTTTATAAAGGTGAAAGATTTTGAAAAGCAATTTAAAAGCATCAGTATTAAAATGTTTGATAAGTTCATAAGTAATGTCTGATGGCCTAGCAGCTTTATTATTTAGAAAAGAGTTGATTAGTTGTATCCATTCATTGAAATTAGAAAGATTTAGTAGTAAGGAGTAGCAATCTTCATTTATATATTCTAAGCCATTATAATTTTGTTGTCAAAGGTTCCAAAAAGGATAAAAATCTTTTTTTGAATTTTTGGAATTAGCTATCATTTGAAAGTGAATACTAGTATGCATAAGAATTTTAGAAGAATCTAATTTCAGATATGGTTGATTTTGATCGTCATTTATGAGAACTCTATCTAGTATAATTGAAGTCTTTCTTTTTTCAAGACAAGATTCAATTATTACTGATGAGTTATCAGTGAAATTATTTACTTGTTGATATATATATGAAGCAATACATTATAGAATCAACAATTTCATAATTAAGGTATAGCAATACAAAAGGAAATGATCAATAATATATAGTAAAAATTACAAGGAAAAGTCACATGATAAAAGAAGAAATAATCATTTTATTAAGAGAAAGAATAATACTCAGACAAATTACAAACTGAAAAGGAAGATTACATAAAATGGATAAATCACGGAAGAAAATAATTTAGATAAATTAGTTACTAAAGGAAAAAGGATAATTAATTAACCAACGAAGAGTCAAGAAAAAAGGATAATTAATCAACCGGATGGAGGGTCTTATAAAAGACAAAATATTTGAAAAATAACAAATTGAAGAAGTTACACAAAGATGCAAGAAGGTTACACAAAAGGCACACTCGTTAGAAATAATGAACTAGACTACATGTAGTAATTCTAACCATTAAAAGACAAATCGATTAACCATAATTAACTGATTACACAGTTGATCATGATTAACTATACAAAAAAATATATTTCTTATATCAGTGTTATTATTGTTTTAAATTTTCATATGAAGCAATAAAACATTATATATTTCTAATGATATAAGAGACTAAAAGAAGAAAACAATAATATTAAAGGACTATATTCTAAATTAAGATTATAAAGACAAAATACTGTTAACTTCTATAACTATTATTTTCCTATTTTAAATATAAAGGGAACGGTCTTAATAATTTTTACCATTTCAAAATAATGATTCTAAAAGGTGAGTAAAAGAAAATTTTTTTTTTGATGTAATTAATTATTATAATATTTTTATTATTAAAATTAAATAAAAAATTTTTTTATTTAGAAATTTTGCTTGTATTAAATATTATAAAAGGTATGCAATTTTTTTTTTATTTAACAAAATTATGAATAAACGAAAATTTACAAACAATTCTTTTTATTTTTATGATCCAATTAATAAAGATTTTAAACATGTAGAAACTGAAGCTAATTCTTTAACTCAGTCAATAAATACAAATCAAATAACACCAACCCTTCCTCCTTTAATTGATATTGCACTTCTTAATCAAAGATTAGATATTTATAAAAAAATTTTAAAATCACCTACAAAAGAAAAGAAACTCAAAAGATACAAGTTGGGTATGAAAATAGTTTAATAAAGATGAAGAACAAAGAATCGGAAAATGTAAAGTTGTAGGATATGATGTGAGTCTTTCTTTGGGTTCTGCAATATCATCTTATGCATATCATCTTGGTCATATTCATCTTATAACAAAATATATACTACTAGCTCAAGAAGAACAAGATATTAAAAACTCAGAAATAGATAAACCCCTTTCAAAAGATAAGCAAGAACAAGCAAATTTTCGTCTTTTAGAATTTTTAATTGATGATTTACAACCTTTTACATTGTTAAAGAATAAAAAATTTAAAGCTTTTTGCAATTTTTTATATTCTAATTATAGAGTGCCTTGTGATAATACAATTAAAATTATAATATCACAAAGTGTAAAATTCTCTTGTCATGCTTTAGCTAATTTACTTGAAAAAATAATAACAAAAATAAGTTTTACAACTGATTTGTGGACTGGATTTCATTGATCTTATAATGGCGTAACTGTTCATGGATCAATGATAATTTTGAACTTCAACAAGCTTTACTTACAATAGAAGAGATGTCATATAATCATACTGCTGATAATATAGCTAATAAATTACGACATATATTTAATCAATGAAAAATTAATTTACAAGAAAAAATTATTGCAGGTATAAGTGATAATGATGCAAAAATAATTAAAGCTTTTCAAGAATTACAAATTGCCAACATTTCTTGCAGTATATATACAATTCATCTAGCAGTATCAGATGGATTAAAAATTAATTTAAGACAAGAATTATTAAAAAAAGCTAAAGCACTTAATCTTTTTCTTGTACATCATAATAAATATCAAAATCATTTTCTACAAATTCAAAAAATTCTTCAACCTACTAAAGACACATTAGCACCAATTCAAGATATCGATAACAGGTGGAATTTCACATATAAAGTTTTAGAAAGGCTTCTGAAATTAAAACAAGCAATTAAATTATTATATGAAGCAATATAAAAGGATGATAATAAAGAAATTCATAAAGATGGAAATAATTTCGATACATTATATTTAATAACAGAAGAATGGATCAGAGTTGAAGAATTAACATTTATCCTTTATTCATTTTTCCAAGCAACAAAATTTATAAGTGGTTCAACTTATTCAATTTTATCTATTTTTTATCCTATGATTGAAGGCTTATTTAAATATATGCGTAATTTTCAACATTTTACTCATCAATCTGTAATTCAAATTCGCAATACTATTTTAAAGTTGATGGAAAAACATTGGTTAAATCCTCAAGATTTTGGACTTTTAGTATCTTTAATAGATTCACACTTCAAATCTCTTAGCTTTGTTTCGTTCTTAAAAAGAGAATATATATTTTCAATTGTCTATAATTTTATAGAACCACAAAGAGAAACTCAATCTTTACAAATCTCAGATAACTCTATGTCTCCTATGTTGCAATTTTTTAAAAATTGTGGTTATGAAACTAATTCAGTTGAAAAATCAGAATTAGATATTTATATGAAACTTCCAATTCTTTCTCCAATAGAAGCTAATGATCCAATTTTATGGTGGAAAATAATTATAAGTTTTTTCCCAATTATCAAAAATCGCACATAATTATTTGTCTATTTTTGCTAGTTCAACTCTAGCTGAAAGGCTTTTTTCTAGTGCTGGCAATATTCTTACTGAAAAATGTAATCATTTAGATCCAACTACTGTTTCAGATCTCTTGTTTTTACAGTAAAATTCAAATATTTTTACTATCATTCCTAAATAAAATAGCATACAAGAATTTTTATAATAAAATATTTGGCGCAGTTATTATGTATTATTCGTATTGTATTACAAATTAAAATAATGTAGCTGGTTAATTATGATCAATAATAGTTAACTAAAGTTATTCAATTATAATCACTAACCATATGGAAGCTTGTGTAATATAAGGTTACACATGACATCATAAATGAAACAGAAATTAGATGAAGAATAGAAGTTATTAGTGATACAAAGTACAGAAGAAAGTCAGAAGTCTGAAAAAGTAAGAAGAAAAAAATTGTTATTAATAAAATATTAAATAAATACAAGGAAAACAAATGAGAATTAATATAACGGAAGTAAAAGTAATATAACAGAAGTATAAAGTAATTTACGGAATGAAAGTAAATAGTAAACAGTAAACAAATAGTAAAAAAATACAAATACGGAATTTAATAATGAACAACAGAAAATTAGGAATAATAGTAAAATATAGAAATCATATAATAGAAATCATGTAGTGAAAAATTATGTAACGAATATTATGAAGCGAATTTTATTATATAAAGGCTAGAGATTCCTTCAAGGAACCAAGTCATTCAATTTCTCAAGAATAAAAAAAAATAATAATTTAATAAATAAACTTTTAACAATAATAAAAATGAATACTTTTGTTTGAAATAATTAATTGTTGAACAATAAATTATGGAAATAAATAAAGTTATTTCGCTTGTATATAAACTTTAATTTTAGAAAAATATTAATGAAGTAATGCAGAAATAAAACTCAGAAGGAATAATAAAAATATGACAAAAGTTAAAGAATATTTAAACGCAAAGATACGAAAGGAAATAAATAGAAGTATTAAAGAAAATATTAAAGAATAATAAGAAAAAATAACATTCAGAAATGAAATTCAGAAGAAACATTTAGAAATAATATTTAGAAGAAACATTTGGTAGAAACATTCAGAAGAAACATTCAGAAATAATATTCAGAAGAAATATTCAGAAGAGATAAAGATATATAAAAGTTAGAATTAATAATAGAAAGTATAAGAGGAAGAATAGACAACTTAAAAAAATAATTATTGAATAGAATAGTTGATGCCTAGTACTTGAATAGTATTCTGGATACTCATAGTGAAAGTATTGTATACATTTGCTGATGGTCAATATATGCTGATGCTACTGAAACTATGCAAGGTTTGAAAGCTTAAACTAACGTAAAATAATAAGAATAAAGAGAAGAAGTATACCAATTGAAGAAAATAAAGAATAATTAGATTAAAGTTTAAACGACAATAACATTAAAAAGAAATTATTAAAAGAAAATAACGCTCACGTCAAGAAAAGGAATCTCAGCAATTAAAAATTAAATTTTAAAACAAATCCTCTTAATGATAAGTGGTAGAAACGATCAAGAAGGTACAAGCTATGTTGAAGTTTATTGAACTCAAAAATGCTATATATTTGTAAAACAAGAGTTATGGCAACTACAACATTGTTCATCTTCTAATTTATCTAAAAGTTTAATTTTGGATCTGAATAAAACAATAGCTTCTTTAAGGAATGTCAAAAATTTTGGAAATGATTTATTATCATAAGCTATTTGAATCTCTTGAGTAGGTATTTATTAATTAATTAAAAAATTAATAATAATAATATATTTGTTGTGATTGATTATATTAAAATGAGTATTTAGATTAAAGTTTATGTAACATTGATGATAAAATTTGTTGATTTTGTTGAGAGTATTGTAAGAAGGTTGGTAATTATAAAGAAAGTCAATAGATCTTTGATTGATAGTAGTATGTTTAGGAAGAGTATTTTTGGCTACTTACATAATTATACAGCTAAAAGAATCCAAATAGAGTTAAGATCATTATGAGAGAAAGTATGAGATTTAAATTGAGAGAATGTAGTAGAGGATCATGAAAAATAAGATTATCTAGTTTTGTTGACAATTTGTTCCATGTTTCTTTAAATGTTATGTTATACAGAAATTTGGTTTTAGTCAATTTTTTCTGTTTAAGTGAGGTGTTAGATTTTTGATGGAATATGTTATTTTTGTAAAAGAAAAAAACTAATAGAGTATGATCAGATTCATAATTATATGAATAAGTATTTAATGAAGTTGAAAAGGTAAGATTGTGAGTAAGAGAAGAGAAGGAAAAAATATAATTGAGAGAAGAGGTAGAGTTAGGAGAAAAAAAGTTGATGGATAAGGGTGATTAAAAAGTTTTAAATTGTTCATTAAGTCTAAATTTTCAAGTTGTGTAAGAAAGTATTAGTATCTTTTTTGTCTAGCTGAAGAATATTTTCATTTTATGTTAATGTTAAAATTATCCATAACAATATGATGATAGTTTTTTGATTTGACTTCTGATATAAGATCAAGAATCTTTTGTTGTACTTTTAGTCTATATTGATGATCAGGGGCAGTATGTGTGTTAGCAGAAAGGTAAATTTAATTTTTGTTCATTTTTCATTTGAAAATCTATGAAAATGATTTTATCATAAAAGTCTTGATAATTAAAAATGTGTTTATAAATAGAAGATTTGACTATAAAGCTAACTTTTTAACAATTTTGAGAGCGATTTTTATTCAATAGAAAATATTTGTAGGAAAGATCAGGTGATTTAAATTTGTTACAAATAGAGTATGATTGTTGTATGATTAAATGAATTTCTGAAAAACTAAGAATATCAAAGTTATAAAGTAAAAAAATTGTTTAATTTGGTTTCTTTTTTCGTTAAGATACAGTTTCTGATGTTATGAGTAGCTATTTTAAAATTATTAATCTCTTCACTTAATTTGTGAAAGAGAGATATGTTTGTTTGTTATGTAGTATTTATTGAGTAGTATTAGAGTGTATTTGTAGAAATTGCATTATAACATCTTTTATAATTTTAAGATCATTTTTGGTATTGTTAAAGTTATCTTGTAAGGTTGAAATTTGTTTTTCTTATCGATTGATCATTTGGTCACATGATATAAATAGAGAAGATGTTGAAGTAGGGAAGTGATTTTGAACAGGAACAAAGTCATTTGAAGAGGAATAACTATTTTCATTGATGACAGAATCATTTGAGAGAGAATTATTAATTGGGGCTGAACTGCTGATATATAATCGATTTTTAATGTTTTCAACTCAGTTGATAGTATGAATTTGTATCTGTTTTAATTCAACACATGCATTTTGAGTTTTGATTAATTCATCTTCTAATAGTTGTAATTTATTTTCCAAAGAGGTCAGTTGTTCTATCATTGAATGGCTGATGTAATAGTCAGAGGAAAAGTATGATTTTGTTTGTCTGAATGATTCATTTGATTGTCTTTTCTGTTTTGAATAGTATCAGAATAAGTAGGTCTTTTTGATTGACTATTTGAATCATGATTTCATGGAATATTAGGTCTTAGTGTGAAAGTTTTTGGTTTATATTGGGCAGGTTTGAATCTGTTATAAAGAGGTTTAAAAGGATTAGGACAAGAACAATTATCACATGATTGAATCTTATAATAAGGAGAACCACAAGAATTACAATGTTGGACTCTTAGAGTAACCCAAAATAAAATACAATTTTTGAATTTTTGTTGTAAGTTAAAAGCATAGTCATAATTATCAAGATTATCAAAGTTGATACACACATATGGTCTAAGATAATATTATTTGTCTTTTGGAATAAAACATGATTTTGCCTTGATCTGAGTCAAAAAATCAGACAAATCTAATTGAGTGGTATTAAAAGGTAATACAGTAAGTTTGAGTTCAAATTGTTAGCAAAGTGCAGTTTGAATCTCATTGATGTCAGTGGTTCAATTCTAACTGAGAATTCCATTAATAAAATAGATCAAGTAGTATTGTAAAATTGTTGAATTGAGTCAGGTGATTCGTATATAATGAAAGCTATTTGCCAAGGACCTTTGGTAATCATTGAAAATCTGCAGATCCTTCTATATTTTTCAAAGACATTTTATACAATGTCAGATTTTACAAAAAGGGAATATCATTGACTTTAATGTATCTATCTTTTTCATCATTTTTGTGCTGTTGTTTAGCATTAGGTCAATTACTAAAAAAATTGGGTTGTGTTATATTTCTTTGACTTTATCAGTTGCTTGTGTTAGGGAGTCTAAAGTATAAAAGTAAATATAGAATTTCCTTTGTCTTGTATTGTAGTACAAACCCTGAATCTATCAAAATAGCTGAAAAGTTTGTTGATAGTGTAATGTTTTTCTGCAAT